GTCGGCGGCCGACGGGAGCGAGACTGAACGCAGAAGGCTCCAGTCACCTCTGCCTTGGCTCCCCACACTCCTCAGGGGCGGTGCTGTGCCCGGCCGTTGGGAAGTGCGTCACGGCAGGCGCACGCCTGCGCCAGGGCGGCGGATTCGAACGGCGGAGGGCGGTTGGGCGGGAGCTCTTGGGCCTTTTCTCGGCGGTGGCAGTGGTCGCGGAGAAAGGGAAGGGTAAGGATGAAGCGCACGGCGCCTCGCAGCACTTTACGGAAAATCATAAAGAAGCACAAACCCGAGTTACGCCTGGCGACTAACACCGACCTGCTGGTGAGGAAGGAGGGGGCGGGCGACGAGTGTGCGGCCTGGAGTGGGGTGCGGGCCGCTCTGCCCTGCAGCGCCAGCCTCCAGCCTGTTTCTCCAGGAGGGGGCCAGGGGCAGCGCCTCCTTTAAGCTGCGGTCCACAGCGGCTCCGGCAGCGCGGTGAGCTCAAGGGCTGAATCCTCCCGCTTGATGAGAGCTCCTCCGGGGAGCCTGGGGTCGTAGCGCAAGGCCAGGAGCTGTTGTGCCTTTGGCCGTGGCGGGCAGCTGCAGCCTAGGGTCACGTATGTCCCTAAATAGGAACATTTAGTCTCTAAATGTTTTATCGCTTGAAAGGCATAGACCGATGGCATGTTGGAGTTGCTGGGTGCAATGGGATGTCAGGTTGCTACTAATGGTGTTTGTGCAGTGACCTACAAGCACAGGGAAGGCAAAGTTTGTGGGGAGATGAATGATTGGTTTGTCTCATAAAATACAAATAAGTCGTGATTGCAGCTTTCTGCTTGGCTGGTGGCTCCTATATTCTAGGTTTCTGATAGTGAGTTTAGGGGTTCAGGATCAGTCTGATGTATAAATATTGTATTGCTACGTGTACACACAGCTGTTCAAAAAGTTTAATGTTCACAGAGAGAAATAGGAATTTGGATTATATGGCTGTAATGTGCAGTTGTTTTTTGTTTATGTAAAGCAATTCAGGTATACTGGTTTCAATCGACTGAATTGTCATTAATGAGCTGCTAAGCTGTTAGGGCATCTTGAGTGATCATATATTTGTAGAAGGCCATCTCTGTAACCTCTGTCCAAAACTAAGGAATGACAAGTCTTGTTAGTAATCTAATGAGGAGAATAAGGTGTTGGGACCCTGCCATAACAGTGTAGAGATAAGAGTCATATCAAACAAGTTTCAGAAAACTGAGGCCAACAATTCTGGATTCCTTCTGACCTGCAATAAGGGATTTGTTGCACAGGAAGGGTTTGTGTCACCAAGAAATTACTTGACTACAGTAAGGAAAGAGAGCTTGTGGTAGCTGCCGTATTGAAAAAAATAGTATTTGTGCATAAAAAAAAAATTCTTTAAAGTGACTTTAATAGGCTTAACTTGCTTGAATGTCACATCCTCTTGTTTTCAAATGCATGTGATTCTCAAATTATTAATGCATACTGTATACTAGGATGATCCCTGGCTTGAATTGTAAATTCACATTCTATATGTGTATAAAAGTTGTGTCTTGCAGCACCTTGAAGGTTGGTATCTGGATATGTGAAGCTAAATGTAAATATGCAAAATTAAAAATACATATAATGAGATTAATATTTATTAATATGGCCATTACACAAGAGAATTTACATTTCAATGTGAACAGTACATATTTTTCCAATTGTTCTAATAAAAAGATGGTCTTCTCCTACTCCTTTTGCTATATATGGAGTATTTTATGGACTAAGGACCTGGCCCCTTGATACTCATGCTCAGACCTGCTCCAAGCTTAGTCGCTGGAATGGAGTAATCAACTAATTAAACTTAATCACTAATAAATTTTTTGTGGTCATTACTAACAGTTGGTCTGTGTTTCCATGGTGATATTAATTTGGCTTCAGGGTAGTGTAGCTGTCTGAAAAAGGGGTAAGTGGGACATCCCTCCAAATCTTAGCCATTGCTTCCCCTCTCTTGCTTGACCTGTCAGTAGTGTTCTTTGGGCTGCAAAGACAATCAGTGAATTGAATTTACTGAAACTAATGAACAACAAGCTAACCTGGCTTAAAATATGGTTATGCAAATATTTATTACAACAGAAAGAATGAGATGAAAATGAATTTTAATAATGTTGTGGATGCTTAGACTATCTCTTCTGGTGATGACAAATTAAATGACCTTAATGTCAGGAGGCTTGGCTTTTATTTTTTACCTGTGTACAGGAATATCTAGGAGTGATTGTCCATGATGTTCTTCAACTAGGCATGTGGCTAACAGCTCTTTAGCTCTTAATTTTTATGAATAAATAAGTAAAACTCCATCAGTGTTGATTTATTAAAAAAAAAGGGAGGGAGACTTTAGTATTGTAGTTAGACAAGTATCAAGTTGGTTTTTTTCAGTGTCTCTGTTATTCACTACAAACCTCTTAGAAGTGATTAAATTGAATACTTTAGAAATTTATATAGTAGCTGTCTTAACAAGATGAAACCATATACATTTTGAGCAGAATGCTTGCGTCTTCTGCAGAGAAAGATGAGAATTGACTAGTTCAGGTTCTGGGCTGTCTTCCTGAATGATCCATGCTTTGTGCTTGAATCCACTGTGATATGTAGCCAGTCCAGCACAGAGGCCACCGGCCTGGCCTATGACATAATCAGATTGTTTTCCTTTTCCTGACTCCTCAGAGATTATTTTTCCTTGATAAACCAATGTCATCTTACATGATCCTTACAAAAAAGTTTGAAAGACAGAAGAATTCAGACACTTGTTTGATACCCGAAAGGAGTTTCTTCCTCACTTTTCAGATTCTGTTGACCAAGTTTCTTTCTGAAATTTGAAGCTTTGTGAGAACTTATTTCCTAAATGTTAACATCTTTCTCTGTGCACAGTGTAGCTAACAAATGTCATCAAACTTTCTCAAGAGGCTGTTTTTTTGGATAATACCTTTGATTGAAGAGGTAGGAATAGTGTTAAATGTTTTTCTACTGCTCATAAAACTCAATTATTTGCCTTATTGAAAATAAGAAGTAAAGATTTTAGTGTGGAAGTTCAGATATTTCTTCCACAGTGGTCTGAGAAGAAAAAGCTGGAAACTCTGTTCTAGCTTTGCTTATAAAAGCAGAAAAAGCTTAATGTATTGCATTGAATGACCCCTTTTGTATTTGTTATGGGCATAGAATGATGAATTAGATGTACATTGAAGGCAAAATATTATTCTAATAAATTGTTCTTAAGTTATGGTAGCAAAGCATAATCATGGAGTTTCTCCCTACTGTTCATTAGTTGTGCTGAACAGGTGTTCAGTTGCTCAGCAAGCATTGTTGTGAGTTTTTACAGACATTTGTAAAACGGTACAACTTTTCTTATATGAGAAATAAGAATTCTGTTGTGTAAGGTAGTTTTCACAAGTAGTTAAAAGCTTAATTTTATGCAGAGGGACAATAATATGTAGTAAAACAATGTCTTTAAACAAATGTGGTATCACTTAGGTACTTGTCACTAACTCACATTCATGGTATTCAGTCATTCTGTCTTTCATCAGCCTTTCCGAAATGCCTTGAATAATCTGGAATATTTATGAAGATGTGTGCTCTATTGTAGTATGTTCTGATTTTATTTATGTGCCTATGTTCAAATCCATATGAGTTCAGGGGAAGCTTCTCAACATGCAGCAGTTTCCTTTGAAAATACAGAGATAAAGGTATAGTTATTCTGAGAGTAGATGCAGTTTTAAAGTTAACGCTTTTGCCTTTAGGTATCTCAGCAGGAGGACTTGCAAGTATGGAAGCTTTTGTTCTGCCTCCCTCTTTTCCCTCAGGTTGTTTACAGAAATCTGGCCTCCATGTTGATAGGTCTAATAATGAGACTTCTAATGTTGAATGCTATTTTAGTGCTACTGCTTGATTCTTTCGGAGATTATTTCTGTAACTAAAAAGTAGTTTAAAAATGACTTCGATATTTTGCTAAATAAACCTGCAAGAACATCTGCTTTTTGTATAGTAGATGCTTCCAAACAATGCCAAATATTTTGTAAATTTATCTTTTGCATGCTGGCTTCATTTAGTTCAAGAGACTGAAAAAAAACCCAACAGAAAACAAAGCAAAATGAAAACCCTGAATTGCTTATCATATGAACACTGAAATGCCTGTCCTCTAACAGATTCTTTGTGCTGCTAACCCACTGCAAAAGTATTTCCTATAAACTCTTGTGACTTGCCTTGTTATATCTTTCTAGACTTTGCAGATCAGGTATGGCATAATAAGTTTATCACCTAATTCATATGAAAAAAAATTCTTATATTTCAGTAATATCTTTCTGAACTCTTGATTGAAAATGTATTTTTGTACACTTTACATAGCAAAGTTAATATTGTTGAAAGTTGAATTTATAAAAGGTGCAATTACCAGTTTTCAGGTTGGACTATTAAAATTCTTCACATAATGTCTGTATAATGCTAAAGGTTTGTATTATAGGTCTCTTATTACACAGGGCTGCTTTTGGCTGGCAGTTTTTAGTGCAAGTTGGAGCAGTTCCTTGGCTGTTGAATTTTTTGCTACTTCTGTCCTAGCAGAGCAGCATTCTGCATTGAGGGGAATACTGCCCTACCAGGTCTTGTCATGTAAAAAGGTTTAGTGATGAGCTGGGAAAAATGGATGGAACCTTCTGACAGTGGAGAGTTTCTTGTTCTGGAGAAATTAATGTCAATGCTCCTTCGCACTGGAAAGGGGCAGAAGTCCTTGAACTTGTCTGTGGTCCATTTGGTGATAAGGCAGGGATGAATTTGCTGTTCATTAAAGTCTGGCCATTGTAGTCACTGAAAACTGACTATATTTACTATTAAACAAAAAGGCTCCTTATTCTCTGATATTTATGTTTCCCTTTTTTTAAAAAAAGACAATAAAATCAGATTTTATTTCTGTTGGATCAGTTTGTACGATCATTTCTAGAGCACTTTTACAATTTATACTGAATTTAAACTATATTTACAAGAGTCTTTCAGTAGGGAATATCTTGGGAATTTATTAAGACTTGAACTGAGTGGTACTTTGCTTTAATGGGAACACCTTTTGAGAATTTGGAAGCAGCCTAATTTGCAAATTCTGTCTCACACAACGACCCTCTGAAAAAAAAACAACTGTGTTTAAACAGTCTGAACCTTTTATTTTTTTTTTCTTCCTTCTTTAAAGGTGCATTTGAACTTCTTGCTGTTTCTCCATCGGCTAGCAGAAGAAGCCAGGACAAATGCTTTTGAGAACAAAAGTAAAATAATTAAACCTGAGCACGTTATAGCTGCAGCAAAGGTAATAAAGTATTTTTAATATTCCTTTTATTTAATGACAAATGTATTATGACAGCATATACAAAATATTCTGCGTTAGTGTTGATATGTTTTTATTTATAATCTGCCTGCAGAAACGCAATGTTCTTTAATCCATCATTTGCATAGTTCACTGTTACCAAGACATTAAATTAACTCTCCATGCCCTATTAAATATGGCACTTTAAAAAAAAAAGTATTATTCTGTGTTTAAATCCATAGTTTCAGTATGTGGATACGTGTACACAGTAGTCTACCAGCAAGCATCTATGGGCTGAAAGCCCATGGAACGGGAGCAAATTCCAAAGTTTCATATGATACTAATTTCAGATGATATTATATCAAGGAAGCACACTTTCCTAACTTCAGTAACATAAATGAAGCTTTATGGAACAAGTGAGAAATAGCTCAAAGAGGTCTAAATATCTTACCTTCTTAGTCTGATAGACATTTTAAATGGATTCTTGCAGCATTATGTGGGTACTATTTGAACAAACAAATACAGTGATATCGTGTTCAGCAAGGGAAGAGCTAAGGGAGGATTAAGCTGTGGAATGCTATATGGGCAGTTCAGCATAACAAAAAATACTGTATGATTTATCTGTGAAAGAGGAAACCTCTGCATTACACAGTGTGGTAAATTTTGTGTACACAAAAAAGAAGAGAAAGAGGAAGGTGTTACACAGCTTTCTCTCTAGAAAGAATGAGAGTAGTGTCAAAGTATGACTGAAATATTTTTCTATTCTTTAGCTCATTTCACTTGCTAGGATATGTCTGCTTTACCTAGGTTTCATAAGGGAACTCAATCTCCAATTCGCTGAGTTATCTTTTCAACCACCTACTACTGCTGGGCAAATTGAAGAACAAAACTCAGTGTTATCTGATATTTGAGTCCTGTGGCTTCTGTTTATCTTCAGTGTTTGGTTTTTTTTCCCTCTGGTGGAATGCTTAGTTTGATACTTTCTATTACTGTAGTAACAGAAATATATACAGGATGTGTCGGGTAGCCAAGTTAATGTTACAGTTGGAATCATATACATTTGTAATTTCTTTTTAACTGCAATCTTAACATTATTTGAACATTTTTGTGCTGCATTTATTTTTTTTTAAGATGAGAAGAAAGGAAAAACTGCCTGTATTTTAATAATGTTAACACTTAAATGGTCCCACTTGGGCTTTGAAGTTCATTTTTCAACTTAAACTCCAAACCAAAAAATGTCCTTCCAAGGGTCTGGGCACTCTTGATATAGAAAGAAGTAAGGTATTACAAACAAAAATTGAGCATAGTAGCTGTATAATTGCAAATCTTATTTTTTTTTTCTTTTTGTCTAGGTCTAACAGGGTAAGAGCTTCAAAGAATCTGTTGAGGGCTTAAGAGAGCTATTGTTTCTCAATGTTAATTTTTTTAAAGCCCTTTATTCTACAGAATTCTTTCTTATGAATTTTCTTATCTAAAAAAATACTCTCTGATATAGCATATTTCTGTATGTATTTTCTTTATTCCTGACCTTTTCCCTAGACTTTTACCCTTGGTGACTCTACTCTTGGAAACTGATTGGCGAGGTGAACCTTTCGTCTGAGTAGCCTAGCATTTTGGATCTCTTACTGCTGCCTGGATTGTAGTGATAAAAGCAGTGATAAATATACTTTTTTCTTTTTGCAGGTTATTTTGAAGAAAAGCAGAGGCTAGACAACAGAGCAATGGAATTTCAAAGCTTGTTTTTACATGTTTTCTTACTAACATGAGATCCTGTGAGCCAGGTTTTGCACTTGTGGAAGTATTTAGTTGTATTGATGTCTATCTCCTGACTCTGAGTATCTTGCTGTTTCTTTAAAAAAATAATTTAAGAGTCTTACAATGTACATTTTCATACACTTCATGTATAATTTTAAAATGTGTGTCACTTGTCATTTAAGACTTTTGATGTACCCTATTTCTTCCAGATTAATGGAAGAATGCCTATACCATAGTCATTCCTTAGGTACAACGTGTCATTGGTTAGACGTGAAAATTTTAAAGGAGAACTGTAATAAAAATGCAGGTTTCACTAAATCCATTATATATGATGCAGTTCAAAGCAGATTTACTAGCTAAACAAAATCTTGGCTTTCAAAACAGATGCTGTAGAAACTGGGGTGTTAGATATCTTGGCCTCAATTTATTTATAAATGTCTTAATATTTTTAAATGACTTTGAAAAGTAGGCTAAAACTTCTGTGTTCTGGGAAAGAATACATATTTTGTGTTTCTAAATCATGCTCTGAACTGTTAAGCTTACCTGTTGTTTGATGTGGTATATGAGAAGTGGGTGGTCTCTGATTCAGTTGGTGTATATAGATGCACATTATGGAGAATAAAAGATCTGGCACAGCTGATGTATTTGAAGTTAGATCCTGTACAAATAGTAAAAATAAGTTCACATGAGTGCCAAGCTACTTTGTCCCCACTTTTGACTGTCATCCTAACTCGTCAGAGGCCTGGAAATCCACATTATGTAAAAATATTTTTAAAGTTAAAATTTTTTCTATTCCTATTCTCGTATTTTCAAGCAGTTAATAATAAATCTTAATAAATCTTTTAATAAAGATATAGTTGAATCTCACAGTTTGAGCTGATAATACAGGTTCTTAGAATATGTGGTAGCTGATCCTTTGTATGCACAGTGAGCAATTCGTAAAATAAAGCAGTTTTGAAAACACTATGTATTGCGCAGTCTAATTTTGTTTAACATGTTTCTAGTGTATTCTAGAAACACAGCAAAAAAACAACAGTTTTATAAATATTTTTGTAGTCTCAGGAAATCTGAGCAGTGCTAAACTTCAAATTTCATATCGTGTCCCTGTACTTTTTAAAATCCTGTACAACCTGTGAGAAGTCACCCTTTTACAGTATGCAGAAAGGAAGGACGTCTCTTCTGCTTTGCTTGATTCATAGGACTTAAGTCAGTCTGCTGCTTATAAGGTTGACTAGATTCCTTATTTTGCATTTTCTTCTCTTACTTGCTTGAAATCCACAAAGAAAGCTGCGAATATACATGTGTAGAGGATTTCTGGACTTAATAATCTTGAGTACATTCTCAGGAATAGAGGAGACCTGACTAGGTATTAATATTTTTCTCTTTAATTACTCTGTGATTTAACAATTTTACTGGAACACATTTTCCTTTGTTAGAAATGTTTTATTTTAATTTTTCCCTGAAATATGTTCTTGTAATAGTCATGTATAACCACATACTTTTCCTCATTGTGCAGTTGCTTGAGTGCTGTAGCTTCTTTTGGAACTTGTTTTAATGTCCTTTTTGATTTGCCTAGGAGCAGGATCCATTCTGAGCTTAGTGGAATGTTCTTATTCTCATGTGGTAGGTGGATGATCAGCTACCATTTTGGAAAGGAGGCAAGAAAGGGTTAAAACCAGCCACCAGTGTACTACTTTAATATTTTATACAGTGTTTTTGGCCTGTATTCATGCTTAAGAAGGTGTCTTTTTTTTTTTATAGGAAAGGGACTTTTTTTCCATAAGCCTTGAGATGCTTGAGTCAAAACGTGTCCTGGCACTACATTGCCAGAACTTTATGAACATTTTGTAATAGCTGAAGCAGGCAGGTATTCAGAAGACCTGACTAGCTTGGGGGGTATTTGGCTTTCTCTCTTTAAAGTTTAAATAAATGCTTATTGAAAATTAAGGTGGTTGATGTAGTATGGTTAAGCATTCAGAAATATACAACACTATTATGTTTTTCCAGTATCATCTTCCTGATTGTTCACCATAAGGTTAATTATATTCATATTTGGCAGCTCTGCTGTACGTCATGTATAGACATAGGATGTCTTCTCTATCCGATACTCCTTATTGGATTTTTAAAATTAAAACTTTACAGCAGTGCTGTCTAAATATCTATGAACATTTTTAATTAATATAACCTTGGAGAATATGCTAATAATCCGCTTTCTGTAAGTAAATCTCTAATGCCAAAATGTCAAAGCAGTATGGAAATGTCTTTTAAACTATGTCTGTGGTAGAAAGCCTAATGAAGTTGGGCTTTCTTACTTGAGTTCGTGTGTTGATGCTCTGCCATTAGGAGGAAACAGGGAAGGATTACTGAGGAAAGAGCCATGCTGATATTTTAATATGTCTCTTCTACTCAGCTGTTTTCAAGAAACCTCGAGAAATTTAGTGTTCAGAAACCGTCAAGACTAGTGACTCACTATTGAATTTTCACTGGTTTTAATGGACAGTGCAATTCTGACTCTTCATTTCCTCTGAAAAACAGGATAGAAGGCCTAAAAATTTAAAGACACTAAGACAAAATGAAGAAAGAAGAATTTGGGAAAGGTACTTCTGCCTTTGTCTTGGTTTTCAGCTTTTTGTATAGCTAATTTGAGTGGTATCACAAGTGGTAAAGGCACAAAAGAAAAATGTTTATTGATAAGCAGGTGACTATGAGGAAAGAGAGTGTTTTCCCGCTGGTGCTGCTGCTGGGTTTTTTTTCATCTCATGTATGGAGTAGCCGATGAACGAGGGCTTGCTGTTTGCCAACTTCAGTAAGTTTTCTTGTTAGGAGTATGCAGGATTATAGCTCTCGTGGTCGCATCATTTTACTTGCAAGGTAAGTGAAGATGGTTGTGAAAGCTTTAAAATGGAATTCATGCATACTTTTAATTTGTAGGGCATGTAAGTTTAATATTTTCTAAGTGGTATAAATCACTTGATTAGCTTTAAAACTATTTTTTTAAAGTGTGAATATCAGGAGTGGTATATCAGTGAAGGTCAGATCTATGGAGAGATATAACTGTTTGACTCCTGAAGGCAACAGGAGTATATAAGCTTGTATTTGTTTGTGGGTCAGGTCCCAAATAATCACTGTTCAAATTGAATCTAAAGTTATGTTGGATCACTAAGTCTGCTGTTTTGATTCAGAAAGTCAACACAGGTGCTAAAACGGATGTTTCATTGTGCTTGTATGTGGAGGAGTGCATCGTTGCTAAAAAAGAATTTTAAGTTGCATAACACAAATAGTAAATAGTCTCTGACTATACTGCTACAGTAAGGAAAAAAAACCAGAAATACGTATGCTGTAATAGGAAAATTCTTTTTCCAGCCATAAGGTGGGGATGGAACAAAAACTGTCTTTTTCTTCCCTGCAGTAACTTCCCATTAGAGAAAATACCCTGTTTAGTCCTACTAAAAAGTATACCATAGATTGTGACACTTCCAGATATTTTTTTTAAGACTACCGAGCCTACGCCTCTGACATATGTAAGGCAATTAATGTTTAAAAGAATTTCCCATTCACATCAAAAATAGGGTGTTCTGCTGATCTGTACTGAGAGGGTAAAAGTTAAATATGTAAGGCTTTGATGAATCCTGAAGATTTTTCATTCTTCAAAGATCAATGTTTAAGCGTCAGATAATTTTCTTACAGGTCTATAGCTATTTGTACAACATAGCCTCTCTTTTAGAAATGGAAATGTTCTATGGGCAGTCTTACGCAGGAGGTTTTTGTACAGGACATGGCTCATATAGCAACCTTAACTATAAAACATACAGCTAATATTGGTTGAATTGCTCACTCGGCTTTCTGTTAGCCTTTTATCAGCTTAGAACAACTAATGATAGGGCATTGTAACTCCTAAATACATAGGGTTTTGAGGTGACATATTTCAAATAGAAGTGCTGTTACAGTAAAACAAAATTCCTTTTTGCAGAGCTGTAAACTGTATGTCAAATTTAAGTTCTTCAGGCTGTCTCAAAGCACTGTGTGTAGTTGTTCAGTTCAATACTATATATACATATTGGAATATAGATTCCTTGGTATGAATGGTACTGTACTTGCAGCTGCTGTGTAGCCTACTTGGATGTGATGAAAGAGCATAATAGAGCAAATTTCTTACAGATTTGAGTAGTTTCAGTTCCAGGTTGGGAAGATGCTGATAGCATTTTTGTTGTGCTAAACACAGGACTGGAGAAATGTTTTGAGGAAGTTGGCGAAGAGTCTTCGCACCTGACAGCTCGTGATTCTGCAGCTGTAGTCAGTTGGAATTCATTCAGTTACTGTTTGGTGAACAGTCTTAGGGTATCTCAGTTTCTTTGCAGTCTACATTCATCAAATTCAAGTGGACTTCAGTACACAATGTAATCCTGTGGACTGGGTTATTAATGTTAACCTGACCAAACTGCTGAAAGATCTTTTCAAGTCATTTGATACGTATAAGATCGAATTTTCTTACCTAGAAGGTTGCTTTCCTGGGGGAATTATTTCAATGCGTGGAGAACTTGGTAGAGCATAGAAAAATGCTGAAACAGCCCTAACATTACTTCTGGTTTATAAAAGAAATGTAGACACAGCCTTACTACTGGGTAGTAATGTGATTGCAGCAGTTAAATAAAACCAAGAGCACTTCCTACAGGAATGGTTTGCTCTTAACCTCCTAGCACTAGGTCAGGCTCTACAGAAACAGTCTTCTATTCTGTTTCCTAAGTGTGTAGAAAGCACAGAAATGTATATATTTTGGCAATTGAACAGATCCTGAATCAAAAAATATAAAGGGCAAACACTTCCAAATAAATGTAATAAGGAATAGGTAGGGTTGAGTTACCTGAAGATTCTAATCCCTTATATCAGGTTTAAATTGGTCTCCTTGTATTTGTACTAACCTAAAATTGACAGCCTAGTGTGAATTTTTTCATTTG